CCCCAAAACCCCAAAACCCCAAAACCCCAAAACCCCTAAATGATATAAAAATATTGAAGATGTATCTACAAGAAAAGAAGCGCATCCAGGTTCGCCTGTCTTTTGACAATTGACCAATTATGTCTAGGTGGTCCAAGACTGTAAGACCAAAATGAAGATTTTAAAGGAAAAACTTCACAAATAAGCTAGAAGATACCCAATCTTGCTACTTATCAGCAAGAGAATCGATCATTAAAGAGAAAGAGGAAAAGTTAGGAGAACTTAAGAAAATATCAGATGAGATTTATAGTGAAAAAGAAGGGTTCTTAGCTGTCTCTCATCGGTTTGAAAAGAGAATAAAACTGATGAATAATCAGTTGGAAAATACATGTAAGCTTACTTATTGTATGGGCCAACTTCTATTATTTTTCTAATTTCTTTTATGGAGCTAAAAATTTTCAGATCAAGCCAAATTTTTGAAATTATTACCTCTTATTTTTGTTAAAATGATCACTTAATTATATCTTGCTTATATAGACAACAATACAGCTATGTATCTAAAGCAGCTCAAATAACTATGAATCGAGTGAACAAATAGAATCAAAAATATTCGGAGTTTTGTTCAAGTCCCAAATTGATGCTAAAAATCCTCCTCTTAAAAAGCATTTCAAAGAGTAAGTTTTGATATTAATTCACCCATCTAGCCCTGAGGACCTAACAAAAATCAGCGACCTCAACAGTCAAATGAAGTCTGACCTAAATGTAAATACCCCTAAAATCCCTTATCTCCAGACGCTCACATAAAAATCTCAATCTAACTTCTTCACAAAAATTATGTTCTAAATCTCAACTTCCCTATTAAAATTCGAACTCACAAGTCTCTAAATCCAGGATATAGTGCAAGCCAAATAAGCTTAAACCTAAACAGAAGAAGTTAGAGATTATGCCACAAATAAGTGTTCCTAAAATGGAAGAAGATAGAAAACGCGAAGAACAACTTAATAGCATCTTAGCCAAAATGGAGAAGAGCAAACAACAGAAGCCTGGTGATGACGCAGAGGATGAACCTATAGTGATAGATGAGGAAATTAGGTTGGATAAGTCTATTGTTCAACCTGATTGGGGCAAGAATGTGCATCAGAGATTAGAGGAGATCAAAGCTTCACCTTACATTGAAGAGGATGTAGAGGAAGAAGACGAGTATAAAATTACAGATTTTGAGTTTATACAATTGCCAGCTGATGGATTTATACATCCTATCGAAGTATGCATTGATAAGAATGAAATTATTAACAATAATGTGCAAAGTGACGTAGAAAGCCAAAAGAAAATAGTTAAAAAGTCATCTTTAAGGACACAGTAAGTTTTGAAGCGACACGCATCTTAAAATCACATATCTTATTCTACCCCTAAATCCTCTAAAATATTTCAAACATTTATTTCTCTTCTTCTAGGCCTCAAAAGCGTCGCTCCTCCATAAAAATCCGCCAAACACCAATTCCAAAGGCCCAAAACACAGTTGAATCTCTCCATAACCGCTCAGTGATAATCTCAACACCCAAGACTTTACCAGACCTCAAGATAAAACCTGGCGACCCCACTAGATCTAACTACTACACCAAAAAGTCATATTCTCGAATGCGAGAGAGTACTAAAATGGTGGACATTAAGGAATTTATACGTAAAAGGCTTCTATAAAACTTCAATTCTAAAATATTGAAGAGGGGTTTTGGGGTTTTGGGGTTTTGGGGTTTTGGGG